CTCTGAGTCTGTCTCTCTCTCTTTCTCTCTCTCTATGTGTCTCTCTCTGTGTGTCTCTCTCTCTCTCTCTCTCTCTCCCTCCCTCCCTCCCTCCCTCTCTATCTCTCTCTCCTCTCTCTCTCTCTCTCTCTCTCTCTCTCTCTGGAAAGCTATAAAGGTTAGGCGCACTCACGTACACACACAACAAGAAAGGACATTGGTAACTACATGTCTCACAAACTGAAACTACCCGCTCCGTAAAACACTTTTGCTCCTTAATTTACCTTGTAAAAGTCGTGCACTGTGTTGTAGTTGGGGAACAAATGGTTGGGCAAGGACTCCGAGTACACGATTCCGTTCTCCCAGGACGTGTACAGAACACCGTGACCAGTGTCTGTTCGGTTGAGACGGGATGAAGGGGGGAGGGAGAGACCGAAAAAAAAAAAATCAGTTATTTAAGAAGAGTTTAAATTCACTTGCAACACAAACAGAGAATACAAGTGCCGAAGTGTTTCTAGTAAGAGAGAGGTTTTTTTGGAAGAGTTTTACGGCAGTTGCAACACAATAAGGTAATATAAGCGCCGAAGAATTAGAGGTGTTACAAGAGAGAGTAACTTCTGAGTAACATACACAAAAAAGGAGGAGAGATAAGGACGATAGACGTCGGATAGGAAAGAAGGAGCAAACCACACCCGATCACCCACCAACCACCCACTAAGAAGAGTTCCAAGTCACTTGCAACACAAACAAGAGCCGAAGATAAGATGTGTTACTAGAGAGTTTAGTTTTAGTAGAGATTTTACGGCGCTCGCAACTGCATAAGGTCATATGAGCGCCGGAAGATTAGAGGCGTTACAAGAGAGTAACAAACATAAAAAAGAAGGAGGGGGAGATATAAGGACGATAGTGATAGATGTTTGATAGGAAAGAAGGAACAAACCACACCAGAGCACCCGCCAACAACCCACGTTACTAGAGAGAGTGACATACAAAGAAAAGACGGATCAGAGATAAGGAAGGACGATAGATGTGTGATAAGAAAGAAAGATCAAACCACATCACAGCACCTGTCAACGATAGTCAACCACCCACCACAAATGAGTTTGTTTCATTCGAGTACAGGATAGCATATCGCCGACGTCAGCGAGAGGGCACAGTGGAGTCGCCTTCACCTCACCAGAACCAAACAGTCATCTGTTTTGTTTTAGTTTTAGTAGAGGTTTTACGGCGCTCACAACTGCATAAGGTCATATGAGCGCCAGAAGATTAGAGGCGTTACAAGAGAGTAACAAACATAAAAAAGAAGAAGGGGAGATAAGGACGATAGATGTTTGATAGGAAAGAAGGAGAAAACCACCCAGAGCACCCGCCAACCACCCACAGTCATCTGCTTGCCGATGCTGGAACTTAATTCATGTAACTACTACAGTTGCACGAGACAACAGTGGCAGCCGCTCACTCTTCCCGCACCATCACCAACTGCACACCAAAAATTTTAAGTTTTTAGTAAGTGTTTTATAGCACTTGCAACACAATAAGGTCATATAAGTGCTAGAAGATTAGAGGTGTTACAAGAGAGTAACAAACACAAAAAAGAAGGAGGAGAGATAAGGACAATAGATGGGGGTTTTTTTTAGTTTAGTAGAGGTTTTACGGTGTTCGCAACTGCATAAGGCCATTTGAGCGCCAGAAGACTGGGGGTGTTACAAGAGAGTAACAAACACAAAAAAGAAGGAGGAGAGATAAGGACGATAGATGGGTTTTTTTTTAGTTTAGTAGAGGTTTTACGGTGCTCGCAACTGCAAAAGGCCATATGAGCGCCAGAAGACTAGAGGTGTTACAAGAGAGTAACAAACATACGAAAGAAGAAGGGGAGATAATGATGATAGATGTTTCATAGGAAAGAAGAAGCAAACCACACAAGAGCACCCGCCAACCACCCACCAATAGATGTTTGATAGGAAAGAAGGAGAAAACCACACCAGATCACCCACCAACCACCCACGCCCCAAAATAAGTTGGGGACTTGATGAAACACCTTGGCGTACCAGTAGCCGGACAATCTATGGCCGGAGAAACGTAACTTAGATTTGGGTGGTTTTCTGTTGGATTCTGTTTTAAAACATCAATTGTATCAGACACTAGTGTGTGAATTTTTAAACTTTTTTTATCGTTTACTTTTAAGCATATCTTTTATATTTTTCCTATGGAGATGCATTGGTCATCACATCACACATTGATGGAAAAAAATAAAATTATTATCATTTTTATCATTATCATTATTATTATGTCTCTTAACATACTTTTCCACTGTGGAAGAGTTTACAGTTTGATTATACCAAAGAGTCTACATAACAAGAGGGGCCACTTCTCTCTTTGAGCCAATTAAAAAAGTGTCCTCAAAATTCGGTGGC